GGCCAGAGGCCAAAATATTCGTGGGGAATCCCAATTGAGTAAGGTCCAATACTCGAGGCATTTTCCAATAGTATCACCCTTTAGTGTCCGCTTGCCTGCCTTTGTCCTTTTGTTTCATGTGGTGTGCAAATCAACCAGAGAACATAGCACCACAAGAAAGAAAAAACTGAGGATATGAACAGGATGGGGGCCTTTATTTTGTTTGGTTTAATCTGAATTATTGGACTAGTAATATAAAAGAGTTTTGTGTCATTATTTAACAGACAATAGTAGCACGTCGGAGTTGGTCATGGGTCAAAGTCACACGCATTTCACTAAAGATGGGCTCTCTTGTGGTGCCTAATCGTAAGCTGGTTCGTGGTTAACATATCAAACCATTGCTCAAAACGAAAGCAAAAGCACACAGAAACAAAAAAGAAACAAAACAAAAAAAAGGATCTCCTCACACTAGCTGCCGGGTTGAGTCAACCGTTACAACTGAGCCAGCGCATTTGTTTAATTTCTCCATTCAAACCACATGAATGGAAGGAAAAAATAATTGAAAAAGTGGAAATCTTTTAAAGAGGAAATAAAATTACGCTCAAATATATCTTGTCAAGGCGTGTTTTTCGGCTTTCTTTTCTTTATTAGATTTTGTTTGATTGATATTATTGTTATTTGCGTTTTGTTGTGCTAAAAAAAAAAAAACCAAGCCCTGATTCAAAAAGACAAAACCTAAATGCCCGAACTATTGGTTAGTAAACGTCCAATTAAGCTCTGGTAGGAGGGACAGTGAAAGAAACTTCCAACTAGAATTACTGGTGGATATTTATTAAATCACTGAAAAAAATGGTTGGTCCGTACTAGTCTAGCACGACATTGATGATATTTGCCTAGTCCAGTAGCAAAACTTTAATCTTGCTAACCCTCTACTGGCTGCATCAGCTCCAGCAATTACATCAGGAGTATCCATTAAAACAACTGTTATACCTACTTGCAGCAGTTTCACAATGTCATGCACTTATCGTTTCATGCTGATGATGTCATAGGCCACATGTGGTGAATCATAGAAATTTAACAATGAATCCTTTTCGTAATGTTTGAACCCAATGATGTTCTAAAGGAAAGCAGATACGCATATTAGTCAGGATGTTAATCCTGGATACAGATACAAAGTTAAGCAAAAATAGTAATATCTTTAATCTGAAAGCCTCTCTCTTATTTCGAGGCTGTGATCTCTTGTTTACCAAAAAAAATATATATATCTTGAATACTAAAGTCTTTGATCTAAATCTGTAGGGCTTTGCATGAAAAAGATGATCGGCGAATGACAAGGGCAAAGTTCTTCCTCATTGTACTAATTTGCAGCTTCTCATGGTACGCGTTCCCAGGGTACCTCTTCACAACCCTTACCAGTATCTCGTGGGTCTGCTGGATCTTCTCCAAGTCAGTAACTGCCCAGCAGATCGGTTCAGGTCTGAGGGGACTTGGCCTAGGAGCCTTTACACTTGATTGGACTGCTGTGGCGTCCTTCTTGTTCAGTCCTCTCATCAGCCCTTTCTTTGCCATTGTCAATGTTTTTGCAGGCTATGTATTGATAGTTTACATAGCAATTCCCGTTGCTTATTGGGGCCTAGACTTGTACAATGCTAGCAGATTTCCCATATTCTCCTCTCACTTGTTTACAGCCAAGGGTCAAAAGTACAACATAACAGCAATTGTTAATGACAAGTTTGAAATTGATTTAGCTAAGTATGAAGAGCAGGGACGAATTAATCTAAGCATGTTCTTCGCTCTCACCTATGGGTTTGGTTTTGCCACCATTGCATCAACGCTGACACATGTGGCCCTCTTCTATGGAAGGTAAATTTATACTCATCATTCTTATATGTTTCTACGTATGAGACTTTATTTTTAAATTTAGATAACTGTGCTTAATGAAGAAGAAACCTGACCACATTTAATAAAATGAAAACCAAAATTTTCCAACAAAATAATTTCACTTTCCAGTAATTCAATTTTTGTTCTTAAGTTCTTGAATTTAAATTTTCAGAAAAATCACTATTGTCATCTATCATCAACAGGGAGATATATAATCGATATCGTGCTTCTTACACGGGCAAGGAAGATATTCATACAAGGTTGATGAAAAAATACAAGGACATACCTTCCTGGTGGTTTTACATTTTGCTTGCTGCAACATTTGTTGTATCACTGGTGCTCTGCATCTTCTTGAATGATCAGGTTCAAATGCCATGGTGGGGACTACTCTTTGCTGGTGCCATGGCCTTCGTCTTCACCCTTCCAATTAGCATCATAACTGCCACGACAAACCAGGTAATCAGTTTATTATAAAATAAGTCAAAATAAGATTCCATCCATCCCCAGAATGAGAAATGTCAAGTTTATGATGAAATCTGGAATTGAAGAATCAGCGATTTTCCTATTAATGATTTCATTCATCATGTACAGACACCAGGCTTGAACATTATCACAGAGTATGTCATGGGTCTCATATATCCAGGAAGACCTATTGCAAATGTATGCTTCAAAACCTATGGTTATATGAGCATGGCTCAAGCAGTCTCCTTCCTCAATGATTTCAAGCTAGGTCACTATATGAAGATACCTCCAAGATCGATGTTCTTAGTTCAGGTACATTTTCTTCTATCTATGAAAGTATCAATATATATCTCAATGAAACAAGGAAAAAAGGATCTTTGAAAACCACTAAAATGCTGTTGAATAGCTGTTAAGGTATCCATACAAGGTTTAAATTAAGAAAAACATAAAATGAAACAAAATAAAAGCACTGCATAGCTCTATATCAACAGGTTCTGATCAAACTAGAAATTAATCTTAATCATATCAGACAAAAGGCCAGTGATAGTTGTTGTCAAACATTTATAAAAAGAAGAACTAATCACTAAGGAGAGTTCAAAAGATTTTGATGTCTATGCTGTCACAAAATTTATAGAGATGAGCCCTTTCTGCGTGTGAAATATGAACATCAATAATTATTTAAGGTAACGTTTGGTATTTTTGGTAAGTTCATCATGATAATATAATCACTAAAGTGATCTTATTATCAAAATGATTTTAACACTTTTGATTTGAAATCATTTTATTTAGTTAACAATTGTTATTTTTTAAAATTAAAAATTCCTGTGTTTAGTATTACTAAAAATAAAACATTATCTTGTTTAAAAATACTAAAATAACTATGCATATTGTAATAGTTACACAAATTAATATTTTAAAATTATATAAAATAATAATTTATAAAATATTAGTAACATTTATTTATTTCATAATAAAATATAATTAAATTATTAAATTAATAAATATATTAATTAATTAATTAATTTTTATAATATAAATTATGTAAAAAATATTTGAATTAAAAATAAAATTAATCTATTAAATTGATAATAAAGAAAAACAAAAAATTATATTATATATAAAATATTAAAAAAAGTAAAAAAAAACACAAATTATTTTAGAATTTATTATAATGAATATTAGTTTAAAAATATAAAAATTTATAATATAAAATAATTACAATTTTAAGAGGAAACAAGTTTTTAATTCACTATTAAATGAATAAATTAATTATTATTAATTTTACATATTATTTTATCTCGATGATAAAAATTTTCATCTTTTTATATGAAAATTCTATCACTCTAAAATAGTGATTTGATCACTCTTGATAGTTTAAGATCACCGTCACGTAAGATTATCGAATACTTACTAAACACGATAATCTAATTATCATATATAAATTATCATTATTTTTGAAATGATTATCGCATATCGAACACTACCTAAAAGAAAACAGGATCCACAATCAAATGATAACAGAATGAAAACTTTCAAACGCAACAGATAATGTGTTTTAATCGAAACTCTGTGCCTTCAGCTCGATAATTATATAGCTTATCTGGAGAGGATCCTGTACATGCTTCCGTTTTTAGTTTTACATTGTTTTCTTTAAAAGCACAGCAGCTGAATAGTTTACTTTTTTTGCACTTCATCTGCTTATCTATAGTTCATAGGAACAGTTCTGGCTGGAACAATCAATCTTGCAGTGGCATGGTGGTTGCTGAACTCCATTAAGAACATATGCCAGGATGATCTCCTCCCTGCTGACAGTCCCTGGACATGCCCCGGTGACCGAGTCTTCTTTGATGCATCTGTTATATGGGGTTTGGTGGGCCCCAAAAGAATCTTTGGTTCTCTAGGTAACTATCGGGCAATGAATTGGTTCTTCGTAGGAGGTGCATTAGGACCTGTCATCGTTTGGCTCTTGCACAAGACATTCCCCAAGCAATCTTGGATTCCCTTAATTAACCTTCCAGTCCTTCTAGGAGCAACAGGAATGATGCCACCGGCAACACCAGTAAACTACAATTCATGGATTATAGTCGGAACTATTTTCAACTTTTTCATCTTCCGTTACCGAAAGCAGTGGTGGCAAAGGTACAATTACATCCTTTCAGCAGCTCTAGACGCTGGGGTAGCTTTCATGGCAATACTATTGTATTTTTCAGTGGGAATAGAAAATAGAAGTGTGATATGGTGGGGCACGGAAGGTGAACATTGTGACTTGGCAACTTGTCCAACAGCAAAGGGAATAGTGGTTGAAGGTTGTCCGGTGAACTAATGACTGCACTCCTCTTTTAAATCTTTCAAGATTTGCACACCATAGAATTTACGAGGACCGGAAAAGAATAGTGAAAAAACTAAAGGCATCAATAGAATTTTGTGTGTTATGTGTAAGATATTGTTCAAAGAAAACTTTCCTTGACATTCAGGTGCATTCTTTTGGATTCAGTCCTTAGCCAAAGAGCAAGTTCATGTCCAAAGAAAATCACCATCAGCACCAGAAGTCTCCATTGGGGAATTCTTTATGAAATATAATGGAAATTATGTTGTATTATTATTATTTTTTTTTTTGTTGATTAAGCAAAAGAATTTGAAACTTCCAACTGAATCTTCTAATGTCAGCTAGCAAACAATAAAAAAGGAAAATGTATCAAGGAGATGAGATGGTCTACCTATTTAATTTTATTGGATTACATATTTGTCAAGTGAGTGCCTCAAGGACATATTCCATACCTTGAAGTAGTAGTCACATGTTTCCAGAAAGCCACTGATTATACTCATCCATTCTTATTATAAAGGAGCTGGAGCTTGGGCAGCCACCTCCACCATATGCCTTCAAGTTTACAAAGGGAAAGAAAATCATTTGAAGTTTTATCACAAATATTCACGTCATATATACAACAAAGATGAACTTATGATTGCATTAGTTATGATGCCCACCTTTGCAACTTCAGAGGTATCAGTTGCAGCATCTGTGCTCCTTAGACACATCTTAAGATTTTTCCTTTGCATATATATAACAGCTCCTATGGGCCTAACATCAGCAATGAATATACTGTAAGAAGAATACAATGATCATATCTTGCTTGATTAGAAAAGAGATTATGGTACCACATGAGAAATTTGTTTGTTTAGAAGGGAGTCTTCATCCTTAAGGATCTTATCTAAGATAAATTACCTAAGACCAGCTGTGGCACTTTTTAGACTTAGCTGCTTTCCAATTTCGTCACTTAAATCAGAGCTGCCATCTACTCTAACTCCCTAAAACCAGAGTAGAAGACAAAATTTAATCGGAGCATATTACAGAAATGAAAAAAGGGGAAGGGGAGAAGGTATGACCAAGGGAGATTTGGGGGAGAGACACATGCTACATATTTGATGTCATACCATATAAGTCAAACAAATAAAACAGACTCCATGCAATTCGAAGGACCATATATGTAACTTTGAAAGTGATCAACGGGATGCTAAATCTCAAAAGTAAACCATTTATGACAAAGAAAGGATATCTGTTTCAGGGATGATTATCTGAAACATCTTGATATGCTACTACCAGGCACTCCCCATAGAATCCTCTGCCCAAGTGAACTTTAAATGCCTTATCTAGAAACTTGTTTGCAGCTATCTGGCGAGAAGAAATATACAGATTTCCCTTGGCAACCAAATCAGCAGAACTGATCTCAAGTAACTGCAATGAAAACAAAAGACTTCAACATTAAAATAAAATTTGAAGAGGATACAAAATGCTTATCAGGGAAAGAGAAGAAAAAGGGAGGAGCATCACAGTCATCCAAACACCTTTCAAATGCCAATTATGCAAGTTAAACATGCTAAGTGTTAGCAACTGAGAAGATAAGAGCTGCAGGGTAAATAATTATAGAAATTTTGTAAATTTTAACACCATTTCTTCATCTAAAAAACATAATATGATAAGTGATCAGGGTTTTTATTCAATCAATAAGACATAGTCCTAAACTCCAACCAATAACAAAAGAAAAGGATCAATTTCTGAGCACTGAACCTGTTCAAACAAGTATGGATTAGTGATGCAATTTAACTTGGCACGCCATTCACCAAGTCCAATTCTAAAAGCTTTAATTTCCGGTAAGCTCCATCTGCAAAGATCTGCATCTTCAATATACTTTAGAACCGTTTCAACACAACCTCGGACTTCTGAGTTCAGCAAATTGGCAGTCTCCACCTTATTTAAATTAATCAAAACCAAAAACAACGGCCTAATCTTTAGATCATATATTCGCACACACATTCAAATCACTCTAGTAAAGCACAGCAAAGAAACACAATAATGCATTCATACTTACATCAGGAGACACCATATTCGCAAGCTTATCAGAAAAATACTCATATACAGCAATTGAACTACTCTTCTCAAGATTGATATTAAAGGTGATTCTCAGATCTTCGGAAGAGTTAATTTTTGGAAGTGCCGATTTTCGATGATCAAAGGCTATTACTCTACAATTTTAAATAATTACAGTGTCATCTAATTTGTAAAATGAAATTATTAATGGAAATATTAAACAAGAAAATTGGAATTCAACTTACTCACACATTGATTGCTGTGAAAGCTTTGTAGCAAACCCTTTTGGACCGACGAAGTCAAGAAGATAACACTTGTCTAATCCTTCAACAAAAAAATCTTCCACCCTGTAAAAATAAATAAAGTAAATGAATATTTATTTAAATAATTTGATTCTTGAAATTGAAACATTGAGATTAAGAACCTGAGGGGTTCAACGGAGGAGAAAGGCAAAATAAGGCAAGGGAGATTAAGACGAGAATGGTAAAGGTGAGCGAAGAGAGCGGATAAGGCGCCCGAAAACGAGGGGTAGTTGTATAGAGCCACATTTGGGACTTTCTCTTCGGAAGCTTTCGCTATTGCTTTTAGCGCCGCGTCTGATCGAAAGGTTCGATGCCATGAATTCCAAGTTTTCAATGAAATTACCTTCCATTTTCCGCCAAGGCAGCGAGCCATCTCTCAGCCAATGTCCGGTGAACACCGACTGACTTGCGCTTTTGTGGTTTTCCCATTTCTGGATTTTGCTTTCTGCTTGTTGCTAGGGCCAATGATGTAATTGGGTCACTGATCCTTGGACCCAATTATTTTGGGTTTGAACGTAATCATTTCGATGTAAAAAACTTAGCCCGCAATTGAAAATATTTATTTTTATATTGGTGTCTTCCATTTTAAGTAGTAGGATAGAATAAGGATAAATTAGTAACTTAAAAAAATATAGTTTAAAAAAAGTCAATAGTCACGTAATTTATTAATAAAATATTAAAATTTTAATTTTAGTGATCAATGTTAAAATCTTGATAACCTCAAGTATACTAAAATAAGGTATATTATCTGTTGAATCGAAAATATATTTTAATTGATTTATATAATTATTTAAGATGACATTCAACGTATTTAAAATCTAAATCTTAGCATTTATAATTTTTTTTTATCTTCAAATTACAGTTTTTTTCATAAAAAAAAATGTTTTCCAATTCAATAATGATTTATTAAAGCTTCATCCTTTTTTTACTTCATCTTAAAAAGGGTGTATCAAAAATCATAAAAAAATTATTTGATCACACCTATAATACAATTACTAGCTTCATAATTAGCAAATACTAATATGCTGTTATTGCTTCAATCATTGGAATTATGAAAAGTGACAATTCTTTAAGGTTGTAATATGCTTCAATGATATTGGAATAGAATGATTTACATTTTAATACAAAGAGGAACCAAAACTCATGACAAAAGAAAAGTGAGTTTTGAGATAGAATTGTAATTTTGCAAGAATTAACCTCTTTTAAAAATGAATTAATCATCTAAAATTTCCTAATTCTCATATTCAATTGATTCACTGTAGTGAAGGGTCTTTAAGCAAATGCTAAGTACAACAGTAATGAAAAAAAGAAAAAAGAAAAATAACTTATGCTTTTTGCCCAAAGTAGTCAAATTTTGTCATTTTGCTCCTTTCATGCAATTTGCTCTATCGCATTGATTAAAGTTATCCCTTGAAAAATTAAAGGCTGGTTTATGGACAATTAATATTTGTCTTAAATTTTGATGTGAGGGTTAAATTAGATATAAAACTATACAATAAATTAAAGTTATTCCTTGAAAAATTAAGGGTTAATTTATGGAAAACTAATATCTTAAACTTTGATGACAGAGTTAAATTAGACATAAAATTAAATAATCATAATGTTAAATATGCATGTGCATAGGCTTTTGGAAGATGTGCATGGCAATTGGCAACATCAATTTGGGTATTTTTTTTTCCTAGGTATTGTAAGCACTTATCTAGATATAATTAAATCTAAAACTATAGATAATAGTAGTCTCTTAAGTGTCAAGAGATTAGTCCTTTATGAGACTAGTATTATATTTTTTATAAAAAATTTTTATTTGAAAATATATGAAAATTTTATGAAAAGAATTACAATTTTTTAATAAAAATATTTCGTAATAAATTATTTTTTGAAGAAATGACATAATTAAACATATATACATACATATATACATATAAATATATACATTTATTTCTATATATTATAATTAAAGGTAATCTCCTAATTTAATTAGCGCCTTTAGGAGATTATTATTTTATTTTTTATAATTTTTTTTTTTAAAAAAGTTGTTATAATAATACAAAAAATTAATAAAATTTCTTGATAAATATTTTTATGAAAACATTAAAAAAAACATAAAATATCAATAACCAATTAAACATATTTATTACATACATAAAAATACATACATCTATTACTATCCATGACCTAAAATTTAATCGTGTACGGATGAACAGTTTTAGGACTAAAACCCAAGCCACGTTTCACTTTTTTTTTTTTACTTTTTCTTTTTGTTTTGCTTATAAAAAATTTTTATAATTATTTTTAAATATAAGGATGCCACGTGTCAACCCATAATTGGTCCCTCTTTTCTTTATTTGCTGTATTTCATTTTTCCTTTTTTTTTTTACATTTTTCTTTAAAAAATTAATAAATTTTTAAAATTATAATATATATATATATATATATATTTGTAAAGATTGTATTTTTATATGTGGGATCCTTTGTACCAATTTTTTCCCTTTTCCTTTCTATCCTTTGTGAATTTTTAAATAAAAAAATAATTAAATTTTTTTAATTCTTTTGGAACAAACTTGATGTGCATTTCGCTTCTTTTTGGCTATCACGTATCATTTTCTGGGCTTTATTTTTTATATTTTTTGTTTTTTTACTTATCTTTAAACTTATTTGATAAATACCTTTAAAAATTATAATTTTTTATATTTGTGACCCATTTATAACCATTTTTTCTCTTTTCTACCTTTTTTTTTAACTTTTTCATAATTAAAATTTTAAAAATATTTTAAAATTTTTTTGAATTAATATTTTAATAAAACTCACTTGATACTAATTATATGTCGTGTGTGTTTTTTGTTTTCTTTTTTTCATTATTGGTCAAAATTATTGTAATACTTTTTTTATCATAATTATAAAAATATCCATCATATTAATTTTGGTTAAAATTATTGCAATATCCTCTAATTATAATTACAAAAAAAAATGCTCTTTTGATTGCTTCATGTGATGTCTTTCCTACTTCATATGATATATTTTCTACCATAATTATGAAAATATCCCTCATATTATAATTAACTAAAATTATTATAATGCTCTCTAAGCATAATTTCTAAAATATCATTTTAATTGCTTCATGATTATGCTTTAAATTTTAACATCCATACAATAATATGAAATTAATCCTCTTAAAAATGTTCATAATACCATTTTAATTACTTGACAATTGAATTACATGTAACCAAATTGATTATAATGCCCATTTTTGTATGATTAACTAAAATTATTATAATGTGTCTGTTAATAGAGGTGATAATGATTCGGGTTAAATCAGATTTGGTTTGATTTTTTTGAAAAATGTATAGTATTATAAATTTTAAAATTTCAATCCAAATTCGAACAACCTTATCTTGAAACCCATCTGATCTGAACAGAATTCTAACGGTTTGATTCATTAGTTTTTAAATTTTAAATTTTAAAATTTTTATATATTATTTTTATATAATTTTTAATATATTTAAATAGATTTATATATAAAAATAATTATTTTTATTTATAAAAATTTAAAATATTTATAAAACCTAATAAAAATATATAATTTGATTCAATTCAATTTTTTTTTCTATTTTTCACATCCCTAACCGAAATCCAATCCGAACTTAATATATATATTTAATATCTAAACTTAATCCAAACTAAATAAGAAAAAAATCGATCCAAACCGAATATTATGGTTTCAAATCAATTTTTGATTTTTTTCTCACCCCTATCTGTTAACATAATTACTAAAATACTTCTCTTACCATAATTGATCAAAGTTACTACAATACCCCTACAATCATAATTACATAAATGTTCTTTTACCATCATTTACTAAAATTATTATATTGCCCCTCTTATTATAATTACAAAAATACTCATTATATTAAATTTATCGAAATTACTATAAAACCCTTTAATCGAAATTATGAAAATATCCCTTCATATTATAATTGCTAAAATTACTATAATACCCTTTAACTAGAATTACAAAAAAATCCTTTTTATTTGCTTCATATAATGCCTTTCCAATCATAATTACAAAATACTATTCATATTATAATTGGTCAAACTTATTATAATGCCCTCTAAGTATAATTATGAAAATACCTTTTTGATTGCTATATAATTACGAATTAAATTTTAATATCCATATAATAACATGAAATGAATTTTTTTATAAATTATCATAATATCTTTTTAATTACTTGAAAATTGAATTACACTCATCCAAGTTGACTGTAATGCCTATCTTTTTATGATTAACTAAAATTACAATAATTAGGAATAATAATGGTTCGAATTGGATAAGATTTGATTTAATTTTTTAAGATAATTCATAATATTATGAAATTTTAAAATCTGATCCGAATATGAACTGACCTTATTTTGAAACCGATCTGATCTAAATAAATTCTACCGATTCGGTTAGTTCAGTTGATCAATTTTTAAATTTTAATTTTTTTGTTTTTATAGAGTATTTTAATATGATTTTAAATATATTTAAATAGATTTATATATATAATTATTTTTATTTTATAAAAATTAAAAAAAATGTAAAAACTAATAAAAATATATAATTTGATTTAGTTTGATTTTTTTTTCATTTTTTCACATCTCGATCCGAAATCTAATTCGAACTAAATAAGAAAAAAAACTTTACAAATTGAATCGAATATGACGGTTTCAAATCAATTTTTTATTTTTTCAATTTTTTTTCTCACCCCTAACTATAATGTCCTCATTTAACCTAATTACTAAAATTCTCCTCTTACCATAATTGATCAAAATTATTATAATGCTTCTACAATCCCGACATAGCCGAGTAGTTTTTCTAGTATGCTATAATTAAAAATCTCTTAATTTTTACAATTCATTGACTTTAATTGAGGGCTTCATTGCTTGACATTTGTCAAGCAATTAGACCTTCAAAAATTTTTTAATCTAATTAAGAAGCAAAATGACATTATTTTGTATATATAAAATAGTCTTTCAAATAATATTTTAGGCTAAATGAAACTCTAATTTAATGAGGTCTTCACTTTTTTTTTGTATTTTCCTTTTAAAAAGTAAAACACCAAAAAATAAAACAAATTAAAATCTCTAAAAAAATTTTGGATTTTTTAAAAAATCATCTTTAAAAAAAACTTCTAAAATAAAATTTTTGAAAATGTTGCTATTGATGAAAATTTTTAGATCTTTATAAATAAATTAAAAAGTATAATTAAATTCAAATCATTTATATTATTTTAAAATAAAAAAGTGAGCACTGGGTGTAATAGGGTAAATTTTCTAGGATTTTTATCATTTATATCTAATACTATATTTTATTATCTTAAACTTAAGTCGCTTCAAGTTTTGAATATAACTGTAGACATCTTATTTTGTCTAAAAATTTTTTTGAAATCAAAATGGGCCTTCGACTATAAATTGGATCTTGATTGGAAAGTTTTAGGCCCAAAACGATAAAAGCCCATAAAATTAATTTTAATGTTGACATTAATTTTAATTTTA